CCTAAAATCCATCCTCTTTTAGATGTGCTCATGTCAGTTCATTATTATAGGGTTGTCATCTCATCAAGTCAAGGTTTCTTTGGTACCCTCTAATATATTTTATTATACTATTTATTTATATATTATTTATATCTCAGGAATTTAGAAATTCACCTTGGAAATTTCCCTTAATGAACAGCTCAGTCCTATGTTTGATCCTCTCATTTGCTATGAAAAGGGTGTTAAACAAACTTGGCGTGTGCTCAGATTTGTGATAATGGCCTTGCGTGGCTGGTGCTTTTGGATATTTACTTTTGGGTTCGTTAGATCATGACTGTACATATGCTAACCTGGAGTTTTGTTTTTAAAAGAAGGGCAGTGTTAATTTAGTTTTCATTGGGAAAATATGAAAATACATAGTTATGCCTATTTTGAAAGCAGACAAAATAATACAGACATATAGTTGTTTCTATTTCTCCGATGGTATGATATCTGATAAAAAATATTTATTTCAATTGCTCATGGCTTAATAGATGGTCCTCAAACTGTAGAACTAGTATTTCTGGATTCTCATCCTTCACACACTTGGGTAGAGTGCTTGTAGCAAAGAGACACAATTGGCATTTTTGGTTGTATTCAAACTAACACATAGGTCATAGTGTGAATTTTGGTCACATTAGCTAGAGTATAGTTGATGACCTATTTTTCCCCTTGACTTCTGGATCTACACAAGTTGGTGGTGGCTTTCTTTTTTAACCTACCCAGCATTCCCTGAGTGTCCAGTTGTGGCACTTCACTTGTTAAGAGAATGCATTTTGGAGGAATGAGAGACTAATGACAATTGTTTCTAATTTATAATCATTTAATCTATAGTTACCATGCATCTTGGTAATAGTTTTTTTCTCTAAAATGCTTTGCAATAAAGCTCTGTGTCAAGGCAAGTTAATGAAGGTCCCTCTGTATGTGTTCATGTGTGCTCCTGTGTGTACATGCCTTCAAACTTGTGTGGGGAGTGGGGAGAAAGGGAGAGAGAAAGATACAGGGAAAGAGAGAAGTAATCTCTTTTAGTACTCTGAAGAAAAGGGGTATTTAGACTCCTTGCCTATCGTGAAACAAGAGGCTTATGTCTTATTGCTGATGAATTGCAAGTGTAATTACAGAGCATTGCTAAACCACATTAAGTCCCAAGGGCTGAATCAAAAATATACACCATCTACAAAAGCCGTTTAAATTATCTCTGAAAAACCTAGTAGTCAAGTATGAAATCAGTCTGTGAGCAGATATAAACCGTTGCTGGTTATCCATTAAAATTAGCTCCACAATGCTAAGGGCCAACCTCTAAAAGTAAAATGAATGGCCCGTGGCTGTATCTAATGTGCTACTCACAAGTTTCTGTACTGTTATAGAAATGAACAACAACAGTTGAACTTTAAAAATAAACAGTTTTTTGATTGGGTTCCTAGAGAATAATGGTGCTTTTGTACAATTCTTGAAATAGAGCCTACAGCCGCCCAAAATAAAATAGTCTCTTTCAAGATCTTGGAAATAATGACATCATAGGCAGATTGAACCAGCAATCCATTAATAGTATCCTTTATAGAAAGCTGTCTCAGGGGAACACATGGCTAAGTAGACTGGCATTGTTTATAAACATAACATAATAAAATCACTTTTTAAATATGTTTGTGGAATAGTAGGAGATACCTCCCACTTGGGAAACAAATACTTTAACCTCAAGGATTCCTTGCAGGTCCCTACCCTTTCTCCATTGGTCTTCTAAAAGTGTGCTTAGAGGCACTTGATTTGAAGGTGAGTTAAAATACCAAGGACCTCCTGTACTATTCTTTCAACACCAAATCAGAATTATCTGGAATCATTAGCAGAGGATGATTGGTTGTGCCTTGTAACGGGTAGTAAAGAACCGAAGTAATATCAAGATAATTAAAACAAAACCATATCTGAACTGTCTAGGAAAACGGTTTGGTTCATGCTTTATTAATTTCCTAGTGTGGAACTGGACATAGGTTCTTCAGTTTCACTTCTGTCTTTGTAAAAGGTGTATTCCAACTCTTCTTATGATGCCTTGATGAGTTGAATGACATTGAAACACTTTCAGTTTCGTGGGCAATAGGCATGTATGTCACATAGGCTGAGTCCTTTGCAGAATGTCTGTGATACTGACCATGGCAAATGTGTGTTATTGAATTTTTGATCAGGGATTTTTAGTGCAATATAGAAGTAGTTTGAGTTTTAGATCCCAAGTATTCCTTTCTTCCCAACCTATATTATACGTGGTCAAATAAGGTCAGGGTAATCAGGCAGCCTGAAAAGAAGCAGGGCATCTACCTGCCTCTCTGGTCAGATGGAGTAATTAGGAACAAAAAATGTCACTCTGTTGTTAGCCACCCCTATTTATCAAGAACAAAGGAGCATAGTATTTTAAATTCTGTAGTTGAGCAGAAACCCTGGCTGTCTCAGATTCTTGTCTTATCTTGCAAGATCAGCTTTGTATATCATTTTAAAGAGGTCATGTGGCATGTTTTCCTGACTTCTGTCATCTCAAGTTAAATATGTCATCAGAAAATATATATTATCCAGAAAATGGTGGCTCTCTCTCCCTGTGAGACACTCTTTTTAGAAATTTGTCTTCTAGGTATTTCTATTTTCAAATGTTCAGTTTCTCTGCAATAACTTTCAAATTTCATTATTTTTACCAAGCTAAGTTTTGTATATCTGTATACATATTTATGTAATAATCACTTCATGTTTGTGCATAGTTTTTGAACCCAGAAAAGTTAAAGAGAAAACTAGTGCCTTGTTTCTGGTGGCAAATGTTCTCTGTGACTAAATTAAAACCATGAACCTGTCCAGTACAGAATAATGCCGCTGGTGAAGTCAGTCTTAAATTCACTTTAATTCTAGAGAAACTAGGAATTTAGAAGGACCAACAGTCAAAATGCAAAAGATAATGCAGACGCATTAGCACTGGTCTCATATTCCAATTAAAATATTTACTCTAGTACCAATAGTATCTATGAATATGCTTTATCCTTGACATCCCAATTACTTTTTGATTGTACCTTGTTCTGTAGTTTGACCTAAATAGGAATATGTGAGTTTTATGAAATTGTTGGTGATAGTGACAAACCATTTATTACTTAGTATTTTCACTATCATTATTACTGAAAAAATATAGAATTGGTCTTAATTCATTAAGATAATGCAAGACATGACACTTAGCAAAACCAAAGAGATCTTCCGTTCAAATCAAGATCAAGCCAATTGTTAGTTGTCAATCACCTGTACAGATGGAGAAGCTATTAATTGATAGTAACCTATTCTTGAGTAGTTACAGACTATATATATTTGAGAGAATTTAGAGCAAAATAGAAATTTTGAAATTCTCTACATAACATGATGTAAATTAGAGTGCATTACTGAGAGTAATAAACACATTGTAACCACTAAAGGGCCAGAAAGGATTGATAGATAATTTTTCAGCACAACAGTTAATGAGTAGACCCCTGTCTTGTTTTTATTGTTCTTAGGTTTGTTCATAGTAAATGTTGTTGGAACAAAGTGATATGCTAAGTCATATTTGGAGAGTTATTATGTTCCTAAGTTAGTACCAGATAATACTTGATAAACTTACAGAGATGTAGTTTTAAAGGGATTTGATTTTCCTTGAATTCAAACTGGGGATTCATTTGGAAGGTACTATTAGTACCTGACTTATGCTGGGGTCAGGACCTTATGGAAGGACTTTAATTAGAGTAGGAAAATACCTGGAGACAGAAACATTTCCTTGGGGGAGTCCATGCTTTTCCAGTTTACTTTATCCTCCCGGGGGAATGAAAACCGAATATACTCAGACGTAGACACAAGATACTAAAGAACAATGAACTTGGCCAGGCGCAGTGTCTCACGCCTGTAATCCCAGCACTTTGGGAGGCTGAGGCAGGTGGCTCATGAGGTCAGGAGATCAAGACCATCCTGGCTAACACGGTGAAACCCTGTCTCTACTAAAAATACAAAAAAAAAAAAAAAAAGCTAGGCATGGTGGCGGGCGCCTGTAGTCCCAGCTACTCAGGAGACTGAGGCAGGAGAATGGTGTGAACCCGGGAGGCAGAGCTTTCAATGAACTGAGATCACGCCACTGCACTCCAGCCTGGGCGACAGGGTGAGACTCCGTCTCAAAAAAAAAAAAAAAAAAAAAAAAAAAGAATAATGAAATTGAGAGCAAATAAGCTCCTAAAACCCAGACTGGATCTTACAGCTAGCTACCTCTGTCACCTCCCTTGTCCCTTCTCCCAAGACGTAAAATGTGGCAGGGAGTAAGGTTATGGTGTCTCCTCGGGAACTGGCCCTCAGACATTTGCCCACCTTTATCTTCTGCCTGCTTGGGAGAATATGGAACATTGTTTACCCTAACAGCCACTCCAACTCTGCTGAAACTGCCAGATCTATGGGATGGTTTCTCAGTTAATTATCATTAAAAACAGGAGAGTGCATTTTGTAACTGAGGTATGCACATGTAAGAAATAAACACCAAGGACAGCTCGCTGTTAAAGCAGCTAACAAGTCACTGTTATGGGCCATTAAAAATCAACAGCCAAACCTGTGTCAAATCTAAACAATGAGGAGGCTGATCACCTGACCATTACAATCATCAGGATAGAATTTTAAAATAAGATTGTAAATTGTTCACTAAAACACTGGTAGTGGGGAGGAGAAAATAGAGTTTCAATGCGGGAAAAGCAAAGGGACTTATGTGTTTTTATAATATTTAGAAAGTCATTAATCACTGCCTTCACTTTCCTTTTTTGAAAATTGCATCAGGGTTTTTGGGAGGTAACTTCCTTCCCTCCAGAAGAGAAACCCCTAAAATCGATCCTCACACGAAACCTGAGAAAACATGAGAACAATGCTTTTGTTTCTAAGATGTTAGAATTCCCATATTTATTAGGTTGTTTTTAGACCTCTTCTCCCTCAACTCCTGTTTTTTCCCTCCTTTTCTTTAGGAGCTGTGAAATTGGTTGTAACTGAAAATGTCTGACGGTCTGGATAATGAAGAGAAACCCCCAGCTCCCCCACTGAGGATGAATAGTAACAACCGGGATTCTTCAGCACTCAACCACAGCTCCAAACCACTTCCCATGGCCCCTGAAGAGAAGAATAAGAAAGCCAGGCTTCGCTCTATCTTCCCAGGAGGAGGGGATAAAAGTAAAGTATCAGTGGCCGGGCATTGAAAATGGGCTAGTTTATTCTTTCATTTTCACTTTCTTTCTTAGGTAGTTGTTTCTTGAAGATTGACTGTTCAGGGCCTGCCTGACCTTTACATCTACATCTTCAGAGGTTGCATTTTGTCTGAGAATAATGTTTGATTGATTTACTGTGGGCTGGCAGAAAATACATTTACACTGTGTTTTCCTTTCACATAAAATTAAATTCATAGTGTTAAGCCAAGGGTAATCATAGCAACAGTACTGTCTTGAATATATCAACAGTGACTTTCTTTCTGATAATGTAGAGTACAATTTACAATAATCCCTCCCTAATTATAAGTTGTTCTTTTTGGAAATTTGGGTATAGGTTTACTTCTGTATACCTTTTTGGTAACTGAAAATTTTGAATTCAGTATATGGGAATCAGTCCACATTGCCACAATATTGTCTCTCTGACTATATTGTAAGTGGGAAGGCATTTCTAAGTCATTTGTTTCCATTCTCATTCTTCAAGCTATTGTCCCCTAGATAGCCCCATGTGCACTGAGTAGCACACCAGTATATTATTATTTATCCTTCTGGTGTTTAGAATACCATTTGGTGCTTAAATATCATATGCTAACGCTTTGTGATAAGCGGGGATATGAAATCTCTAGTAAGTAACTTTCAGGTTGCATTAATTAGCATAAAGCTGAAACATGGCTTCTACAGATATGAAGCAAGTACAAGGGCACTGACACCATGGAAAGTTGTCAGAGGGCAAGAAGGGTGATGTCTTTAGAAGAGAAACAGGACATTCTCAATCTGCTTCTTCAAGGTAAAATAAATAGCTTTGTAGGTCACATATACTGTTAATCAATCTACAATTCTTACCATAAAGAAAACTAAAACTATTAGTATGGCCAGTACTGCCACTTGTACACCTACATAACTTAAAAGATGCTTTGTTCTTCATGACCCAAGGATGGAAAAGATGGAAATGAAGTTAAACCTCTGGATTGAAGATAAACCGAAGAATAATGAAACACATTCAATGCAAGAGATCTGTGACCATGCAAGAGGAGTTTTCAAAGACATGTTTTTAGACACTGAAATGAATCCAGAAAAATTTTTGTTGGGAGTAAGGGATGGTTTGAGGAATTTAAGGTGCACCATAATGTGGAGACCAGGTCTTATTTGGCGGTTGTGCCAAAGAACAAACCGTTCCTGCAGCTCTCATGTTGTATTCACCACAAATTCAGGAAGTGGCTGAAGAAGGGGATTACGTGCCTGCACAAATCTTTAGTGCTATCGAGACTCTCAAGCTTTGGAACCCTTTGAATACTTCTGAAGAGCAAGAGCCCACTGATGCTGAGGTCAGCAAAATCAGAGAGACTGACATTTCCATTTTTTGCCAATACTTCAGGTGACCTCATAATGAAACCCTTGCTGCTCTACAGAAAACTGTGCCTAAACCCTCTCAGGTGAAATTAATGAGCCAAGTTTCCATCGTACTGGCAAGCAAATAGAAAAGCCTGGATGAATCCTCCTCTCCTTAAGGGATGGTTTGAACAGTACTTTCTTGTGGATGTTCAAGACTACTTAAAAAAAAAGAAAAATACCTTGAATTCAAAGTCCTGCTAATTCTTCAGTCTATTTGGTGTTTCATGTACATTTGCCAATGTGCATCCTAATGGTAAGATTGTCTTTATAACTAGCCACATGTCTCAGATTCTTGAGCCTTTCAGTCAGTGTTTGATCTGGCTATTCAGGAAGGCTTATTATAAACTAATGTATAACTTCACAATCTCGCGAAGTTTCCACTGTCTGAAGATCCTAGTGCATGAGACTCCTACATCATTATAATGGCATATCCTTAATAAAGGTTTGGCTATTGATTTTTAATGGGTTTTCAGGAGGTAACTTCCCAAAGAGGCATTAGATAGTTTAACAGAGCCTGTCATTAATGTGACCTGTGAGAAGACTTGGCTAGAGGTGGTGAAATATCTTTCCTCTATCCCTCCCAAAGACAAGAAAAACCTATGGATGAGGATGAAAATTTGGCACAAGAGCAATCATTGGCGGAAGTTGAATCTGAGCCTGTTGACACTAATTCAAGTTAATGCTGCTAGAGGCTGATCCTCAGGAAGCTTTGTTGACTCCAGAGATTATTATCATAAGTGATGATGAAGACAATTAGGAGGCTGTGAGACTGGAAACAAATACAGCTATAAGAAACAGGAGCAACATTTTTAGAACAAGATTAAAACCTCCCTAAGAAGGTAATTAAAATGGACATCTTTACATGTGTCAAATATTACCTGTTCAAAGCTTGAGTGACTTACAATTCTATAAAGAGGTGCTATGATGCCTTCAAACATAATCATATGGGACAGAAACAATCTTCAATAGAACTTAAATCATGTGCCATTCAATACTGTTGCTGGACAGCTGAAAAAACTACCTTCAGACAAAGTTTGATTTAATTAGACTCTATTAAAAGGTCCTATGAGACTTTTGAAAAGACTACATTGGGAAGAAAGAAACCTCAGAAAAGCCTAAATTATCAAGTAGTACCATTTAAATACTCTTACTGGACAGCTAATAAGCTACCTTCAGACAAAGATTGAATGATTAAATTGAGCTCCATACAGAACTGCTAAGGTGTCTTCAAAAAGGACTTGAGAAGACAAAAGCATCTTTAGAAGGGCCACTTAAATTCACTTGCTTGATAGAAATAAAGCCTCAAGCAAGTTGTTATAACTTCAGGATTCGACTTTACTGACTCTAAGAGTATAGATATCCATAATTTGAACTAAATGAATAGTCCACTTCTGTTCATTGTTTCTCTGTCACCCCCATTTGCCACTACCATAATGAGTGATAGATACATCCTCATCACCACTGGAAATCATCTCAGGATCTAAATGGAAACTGTATAAAGCCTATCATTTTTGCTGATTTAAACTGTGTAAACTCATTATTCTTTTTATGTAATGTGCTGTTGTTATTGTTTGCCTGCATAAAAATATGAGGGTTTTCAACAGTTTACTTGAGACCTCATTTTTGCTCATTTTTTTCCTTCCCGATATCATGATCTCCTCAGCTGAACTCTCTTACCTTGGGGGTTGTTCAGGAACCTGACTCTCATGGGGAAAGAGGGATTACTATTTCTGTGTTCTTATCTCTTGGTAACTGCTTAATCACAGTCAGTCTTGAACTAATGGAAGGAGCACTGGACCTGGGTTCTTGAGACCTGGGTTCATGTTCAGCTCTGCCACTGATTATTGTGACATTGGGCCAGTCACTTGGTTTCTCTGAGCCTCAGTTTCATCACCTGTTAAGTGAGGATAGTAATACCTGGCACAAATATCACAATATTAGTGATAATTGAATATAATTATAAGTACCAGATGGCTATTAAAAGTAAAATTAGGAAGTGCTGAATAACCATAATATCATTGTATTTGTAGCATTTTGGACCGTATCGATGAACAACTGAGAAAACTAGGTTTTTGAAATCTTTTATTTTTTAAAAGTAACTTCCTCCCATTTTTTATGTCAATTATAGAAAATTTTAAAAAGAAAATTAAATGTGCCTATAATTTTACAAGCCAGAGGTAACTAAGTTGCTATTTTTCTTTTTAGTACCTCTTGGTCTCATCATAAATTGTTCATCAATGTCAAAAACTTGGAAAATAACGATAAGCATATAGAAAAAAATAAAATCACCCATAATCACAAATCCTAGAAGCAATGTTAATATTTTGATGGATTTATTTCCAGACTTTTTCTATGGCTATGTATGCACATATATAATTTTTACATAGAAAAAGTCATAATGCATATAGTTTTGTTGCTTTTATACTTAGCATTTTTATCATGAATATTTTCCTACATTTATGTGAAGTATTTGTAAATATCATTTTCAATGGTGTATAATGTTTCATCATAGGATGACATGATGGTTTAGTTAACCATTTTCTTTTGTTGGATATTTGAGGGTTTTTCCAAATTTGGCCATTGTAATTTCAGGATGTCTATTTCATTACCTAACTGAAAATATTTGCTTTGGTGACAGCAGAGGATTTTTTGTTGTTTGTTTGTTTGCTTGTTTTTGAAGAAGTCCTTTTAATAGCTACATTTCATTGACTAAATGGAACTTCAAGAGACAGGTAGAAGGAAAAAAAAGAAATAGTAGATGTAATTTTAAGATTGAGGATTTATTTTGTTGGTGACTGTTCCAGAAGCTGAATTTTGGTGTTAGAGCAATTTAGGAGGGACAGTTTGCCACCATTTTATGATACTTTACTGTAGAAAAGTTTTCAGGATTTAGACCAGGAAAGAGACATCCTAACCATATACATTGATTTTATTTTATGGGCCCTGTGAAATCTGGGACTGATCAGGTTTCTCTTTTGTTGGCTGCTAGAAAGCTTGGAGCCAAATGTGTGGTCAATGCATAGCGCTTGTAATGGGACTCTACGGTATGTATGCACTTTGTATTAGCTTTCTGCCAGGCTCCATTTCATGTTCCTATTTTTATTGTTTTTGTTTTTTCCTTTTACTTTTATATCTGCTTTGAATTTATGCTATCATGTTGTATTTTGTGTATTCTTGTAAGCCACCTGACATCCATCTTGGAACATGGTGGGGAATAAACACATGAATGAATAAATAAATACATTAATAAATACATGAATAAATCAACCAATAAGGAAAAAACAATGAGGCAAATGAATACAGCCAGGACTCTGAAAATTGCATATTGCCTCCAAAAATAATCAATGTTAAGGACTTGAAGCTTGGAAGAACATATTGGAAAGAAGCAGGTGAGGCTGTGAGGCTGCATTTAGAGGTGACATGTTCTGTGTGACGTCTGTGTCTACCGAAGCATGCTTATATGTTTTGTGTCTTCTACTGCACTTGAGCATTAGGTGTGTTTCAGAGGATATGCAATGCTGTGTAAAGGACTGTATCTTTAGAGGGCACAGTTCATGTGCATTTTATTTGTGGGGA